GACCAGTAGGCCATTAGACTAGAAGGTCATTGGACCAGTAGGCCATTAGACCATTAGGCCGTTGGACCAGTAGGCCATCGGACCAGTAGGTCATTGGACTAGTAGACCATTAGGCTTGTTTGGCCTCAATCTCATGGGTCTTTGTCCGGTTAGACCGAGTCGGTATTATAATCTCTATCACATGTATATACTGTAAGCAATTATAAATGCATGTTGAATTCTGAGTAAACAATAAAGAAAGATAAGATATGTTGTGGTTCGACCATTGACCTACTAACAAAAATGAGAAAGTATACTTTCAATCTTAGTTTGAAAATTGCAACGTCGCATCCATGAAGGCGTGAAGAAAACATAATCTTAGATAATTATGCATATCAATGCAACCAATAATAAGTATTTTGCAATCCCAAAGGCCAAAACGGATAAATTGTTACAGTGAAATCTCATTTGAGTAGATTAAATTGTCAGCATTTAAATCACTTTCTTAACATTAATTTACAAAGTTGAACCAATTAATTAATTAATTAACAAAGAGGGAGTTTTCAATTTGAATTTGCTACAAGTGTATTTAAAAGTTTCAAGATATTCAACTGAAACTTTATAATAAATTCTATAAGTCTCCTAAATTAAAGTAGGAAACTTTATAATAAATCCTACAAGTCTCCTAAATTAAAGTAGCAAGTTCTTATGTGACTTTTGATACAACACCCATAACAACTTGGTAGACCGATTGATATGGTTAGCTCGGGTTAACCAGTCTAAGATAGCTTCTAGCTCGGCAATAGGGTTTGACCATACCAAAGAGCTCGATATAATGACTCAAAGTATAGGTCAAATATGGTTACGAGCTAGCAAGCTAGGCTCATCAGCAGACCATACTTTTGCTACGTCAATTGGTATAAGCAGACCAGTACAATTCCTACACGATACCGCCAAGACGGAACGATACTAACGATAGGCGCGACGCCTTGATAAAGGCCTTGGGACGCTAGAGTGAGGTGTTGGGGCGTCAACACGAGGCGTTGGAATGCCAGGTCGCAGATCTAGCTGCGAAGCTCAAGGATATCCGGTTGACTTTACATACTTCTCTACATGGCGATCGTACGAACCGCGCACTTGACGGTGGTCGTGGCAGCCACGGGAGCATGCGTGGGGGTCATGGTCGAGGCACATGTGGGGCGCCCTGCTCCCGATCGCCTCACTCGTGTGATGGAGACAGCAACGTTGAGGACACCGTCTCTGGGTGTTCGGTATGATAGCGGTGCGGGACAAGGGCCAGTTCGCCGATGATCGGCATTGGATGTCAACGTTCCGGGTCGAGATCCAAAAATTTTCAGGGATTCTTAAGGATGAGAACGGAACGACCGAATATGAGGGTCTGCCTCTTTTTTATTATGAAGTTATCGACGCTATGAAGTACGCTGCCGAAATGAAGAAGTTTTTGGCCATTGGGACAGCGGAGGGGATGGTGGTTGACGACTTGGTGAGGATGTCGAGGGCGATGTACGCACAGCTGGTGCAGCAAAAGTTTTTCAGGCTCCGAGTTGCTTTTGCATACCGGATAGAGGCAATGTAGGAAAATTTGTAGAGGCAGAATTCGGGATGCAGATTACTTGTGGTTTTGCGTTGATGTATCCATGGAGTGATATTCAACATCAAATTAATTTAGTGATGGAGATGAGATTGCATCTGATTCTAGTATGAATCTTTTCAATGAAGGGGTGATGGAGACAAGATTGCATCATATTTGAAGGTGAATCTTTTTCATGAAGGGAAAAATGATGAAGACGAGAGTGCGTTGGCTTTTCTAGATAAGTCTGCCATTATGAGTTTAATTGTTTATTTTTTTTATTAATACTATTATTTATATCCTAGTTTTGGTAAGGTAACATTTACTTATCTTAGTCCCATATTTATTTCCCCTAGTCATTTTCTTGTTAGGCAAGTTAGTTATTTAGGGCTTTCAAAAGTTCTATTTAAATGACTCATCTTCTATTGTTTTACTTGGTTGATTTTGATTGAAATAATACATACAGAGATTTGTCTCTTTATTTCTCCCTTCGTATACATTTCCGCTACGTCACTCGGTCAAACGAAGGGTTGTCATGACCCATACGTCGTGTAACATAGGTCGTATAAGGGACATGATAAGGAGTATGGTGCCTCAGTCATGAGGTCGGTGCGATGACCTAGGGACCTACTGAGTCCTTGTAAAGAAAGAACTTACTAGGACGGCAAGTATATCTCATTAAGGATAGAAGATCTCAGAGACGTGTTATACTAGAAAATGAGATACAAAAAGATCTCTCTCCTATTAATAATGTTATGTGGGTAAGAAGACAACCTCCTTATTAAATGATGTTGACGGGTTCTTTTACAATTTAACGCATATCATATTTCACATCCCAGTTTTACCAAGTTCCCGGGTGAGATCTAAACTGATCGTCAGAGGTTTTCCCACTGGAACCCCTCCTAGAATATTTTTCAAGTCACCGGAATTCAGTTTGAAGGACGGTTCGTGAGGTTATCGGCCAGAAATCCAGTTTAGGGTGAATTTGCATATCAACTTCAAATTAGAATACCTTGAAAACTTTTTTGATCAAAACTTTAATGAAAAATATTCTTGTAGAAGTTTCATCAAATTAGTGAGTTTTACTATAATTACTCAGACTCTTTTCAAAATCTTTTTCTCTCTAGTGATCATAGTTATCTTTTTCACATCTCTCAAACTCTAATATTTTTCTCATTTATCCCATTACCCTTTATAATTATCTTTTCAGCACGAATGTGTGGTGTTAGTTCATTTGTATTTTTTATACCATCTATTTTTTAACATATTTTCACTATGTGATTACTTTTATGCTCCCTTTTTTACTTATGAACTTACTTTTAAAGTATCATATGTTTGTTTAAGTTGACATCTCAAGAGTTTATTTGCTGATATATAGTATGATTCTAGGTGTTGTGACAATTTTAGAAGATAAGATTGCCATCTTTGTAAACAAAGGATGTTTTTCTAATTCTCCAATGTGATCCAAAAAAATATAAAAGCTGAAATTTAGAACTCAATAATAAATAGATAAAATATTAAAGGTGAGTAGTATCACACTTTCTTAAGGAACTCATTGATTTTTTTATTGCTTGGATTGACTAGTGCGTGGCTCGTGCGATGCACGGGAAAAAAATATTACGATTGTATTATAATTAAATATATAAATAACATTAACCATCATTTATCTATTTTTTTAAATTAAACCGGGTTGGACACAGTTCAACCGGATGGACCAAGAACCGGTTTGTAACCAGTCTAGTTCGCTTGAATAAAATATTTGTTATCAAATTCGTCAACACCAGTCAGTTAGACTGGTAGGATCAATTTTTTTTTTACTATCACCTAAAGTAATTCAATCAACCTGAGCAGTACCCTAATTCAATCACCCCATTGATCTAAAGAAATTTCCTTATTTTCTTTAAATATATTTAATTTTATGGAATAAAACATTTTATGATTCATATAATAAATGTCTACACTAAATGATAGTATATTAAGATTATAAATTATATATATAAATATGAATTAATTATTTTTACTTTATGCATATTAATAAAATATAAACATATTAATTTATAAAAAATTAAAATTAATTGATTGATTGAGAGCCAATATTCTCTCAAGTGAGAGCCAATCGATTTTCGTCATTGTGGTGATCTTCGTTCGTTGCAATACCTGTTTATTTTCGATCAGGGGTTTGGTTTAGTATCTGAGTTTCGAATGGCATTGTGAGTTTCGAGTTGGGATTAGGGTTGAATGATTGGGGAAAATGGCAGACAATATCTCTGGGAGTGCGAAAGCGGCCGAGATGAGTGAAGAGTTAATGAGGCAACTTGGGAATATTTCATTATCTACGGTTGAAGCGGGAGGGATAGTAATTCAACAGACTGACATTAAAGTTAGTGAAGAAGAATGTGGGAGGAGTTTATTCGGGAAAGTGGTGGGAGACAGACCTGCCAGTCTTCTGGGGATTAAAAGAGCAATGAACAACATCTGGCGAATCCAGCAACCAATGGAAGTTAAAGAGATAAGTTCCAACATTTTTCAATTCCTGTTCAGTTCAGCAGAGGATAAGAAAAAAGTAGCAATGGGGCATAATTGGATTTATGAAAATCAGTATCTAGTGCTTAAAGAATGGTTCCCTGGGTTAGTAGGCAATCACAGATGCTTTGAGAAAGTGAAGCTGTGGGTACAAGTTTTGAATGTGCCTCTAAATTGGATGAGCATTGATGTGGGGCTCAAGATAGGCCAAATCTTTAAAGGGGTAAAAGATGTCCATATCTGTAAAACTGGTGGAGATCTGGGTAGTTTCATAAAAATCCTGGCGGTGGTCAGTACTAAGGAGCCTATTCCGAGATGCACTACAGTTACATTAGGAGAGCAGCAAGTTCTGGTGGCCTTTAGATATGAAAGATTAGTCAATCTTTGTTATTATTGTGGCAAGCTGGGGCATCTAGATAAAAACTGTGAAAAAAGAGCAGAGGATATTGAAAGAAAGCAAGTATCTGATGGACAGTATGGGGAATGGTTGAAAGCAAATGAGACTTATCCAGGAGGCAGGAATAGTTATGGCAGTAGCTCAGGCAATAAACCAAATCAGCCAGTGCAAACAGTTAATGTGGAGCCTGTGGTATCAGTTAGTGAGACTCCTGCAGAAATAGTACAAGAAAAAGAACAACCTCCTGAGCAAGGGCAGGATGATCAGAGTGGAGTAAATGACAATGGTGACAGAGATCTTAGAGAGAAGCAACCTCTTAGAATTACCAGTGGCAGCACAGAAAGAGAAGAGCATGAGAAAAAAGGAAAGGCTTTGATGATAATTGAGTCTCCAATGGACTTTGAAGAAGAACAAGCTCTAAGGGTAAATATAAAAGAGATAGAATGTGCTAAGAAGGGCAAAACTGCTACATGGAAGAGGAGAAGTAGTACTAAGGGAAGGTTACTGAGGATGGATGAGGATACAGCAGGTGATAGAGTGGATACCCATATTAAGAGAAATAGAGACATGGTTCTATATTCAGATGGGAGAGGTGATCAAGAGGAGGAGATAGTGGAAAAGAAAAGAAGGACAAAAGCTGAACAGAAGAAGGTGGAGAAGGCCAACCTCAAATGGCCCCAATGTGACCAATGAAGGCTATGGTGTGGAATTGTAGAGGGCTGGGTGGGCCCTCTACAATTTCCCAAATCAAGGATGTCAGAAGACTCCATCACCCAAACATTTTTTTCCTGTCAGAAACAAAAAAAACTTTGGATTTTACTAGAACTGTATGTAGGAAACTGGGGTTTGAAAGTAGGTGGTTCTTGGAGAAGCCTAATGGTACAAAAGGGGGCCTGCTGCTTATGTGGGACCTCAACATGGAGATAAGGGAAGTCATAGCCAATGATTTCTGTATTCAAACTGAGCTGAGAGGGACTGGAGAACAGGAGTGGTACTGGATCACCTTTGTTTATATGAGCTGTGATAGAACTCTGAGAACTAAGCAATGGGAGTTCCTGGAAGTCTGCAAAAGTAGATGGGGGAACTGCTGGGCAGTTATGGGGGACTGGAATGCAATCACTAGTAATGAAGAAAAAAGAGGGGGTATTAGGAGACCAGAGTCCAGTTTTAAAGGCTTCAAGGATTTTATAAATAGAATGGAAATGCTAGAAATTGACCAGAAGGGTTCTTTTTATACTTGGGGCAATAATAGATCATCTGAGGGATATGTAGAAGAGAGACTGGACAAGATGTATGTGTCCTTCGATTGGCAGCTGAAATTTCCTAAAATGAAACTTTCCAACTTTTTTAGGAGTGCATCTGATCACAATGTGCTGCTGCTGGATACTGAGATGGAGAAGGGAAGAAGCAAGAACAGATTTATCTTTGATAACAGGTGGTTGAAGCTGGAAGGTGTTACTGAGGCAGTTAGAAAAGGGTGGGAGATAGAGGTGGAAGGATCTCAAATGTTCCAAATAATAGGGAAGGTGAAGAATACTAGGATGGCCCTTTTATCCTGGTACAAACCTTTGAAGAGGAACTCAGAAAAAATGATTGCAAGCCTAACTCACAGAATGGAGGAGCTGAGGAGGGAAGGGAGAGAGGTGGACTGGGATGAATGGGGACAAGTGAAATCTGACCTTGACAATGCTCATAGGGAAGAGGAACAGTACTGGAGATTAAAGTCCAGAGCTTTATGGCTGAGAGAAGGGGACTGCAACACAAGGTTTTTTCATGCCTATACATCTCAGAGAAGGAAGAACAATTCTATTCAGTCTCTTGTTTCCACCTCTGGGATCATCCATGATACTGAGGAGAAGATAGCTTTGCACATTGCTGATTATTACTCAACATTATTCTCCTCAGAAGGTGCTAATGGGGGTAGAGAGCTACTGCAACACATTCCTTGCTCAATCTCAGATGCCATGAACAATGACCTAACCACACCGGTGCAGGAAGAGGAGATCAAGGCAGCTTTATTCAGTATGGCCCCTGAAAAATCACCAGGAGAAGATGGTATGTCTGCAGCTTTCTTTCAACACTTTTGGAATATTGTTAAAGCAGACATTTGTAAGGCAGTTAAAAGCTTTTTTAACACTGGTGTTATGCTGAAGAATTGGAACCATACTGTAATAACTTTGATCCCTAAATGCATTTATCCTGAATCATTGAGAAATTATAGACCAATCAGTCTTTGTGGAGTGCTGTACAAGATAATTGCTAAAATTCTGGCTGAACGACTGAGAAAGTGTCTTGATGTTTGTGTGAGTAAGTCTCAAAATGCATTTATCCCAGGCAGGCAATTACTAGACAATGTGGTGTTGGCTCATGAGGTATTTCATTATCTGCATAGACATAAAACTGGGCAAAATGTGTTCATGGCTATAAAACTTGATATGGAAAAAGCTTATGACCGAGTGGAATGGGAATGTGTTAAGCTTACTATGACCAAGATGGGTTTTCACTCAAAATTTGTGAGATGGATATGTGGCTGCATCAGTTCCTCTACTTTCTCCTTCAACATTAATGGCAGTGTGAAAGGGTTTGTGACTCCCTCTAGGGGTCTGAGACAAGGGGATCCATTGTCTCCATATTTGTTCATAATTGTCTCTGAGCTACTATCATCTTATCTGGATTTCAAGATGGGTGCTGGTCATTTCCAGGGGATTAAACTGACAAAAGAGGGACCTATGCTCTCTCACTTGCTGTTTGCAGATGATGCCTTAGTATTCTGTAAGGCAGATGTATATCATGCTAAGCTGCTAGTCGAAATTTTGGAAAAATACAAATCTTTCACTGGGCAGAAAGTTAATTTGAACAAATCCTCCATCTTTATCAGCTCCAACTGTAGTGAGGCAGTGAAAAATCAAATCTGTTCTGTTCTGAGAGGTGTGGTTTATAAAAGATCATCTAAGTATCTGGGATTGCCACTTGGTATTGGTGCTTCAAAGAAAAATACCTTTCAATTTGTGGTTGATGCAGTTAAGGATAGGATTGAAAGCTGGAAAAACAATTTTCTCTCCACAGCTGGGAAAGAAGTCCTTGTGAAATCAGTTTTGAATGCATTACCTATCTTTGTAATGTCATGTTTTGTGCTGCCTCAGAGTTTGTGTAAGGACATTTGTCAACTGGTGGCTAGATTCTGGTGGAGTAAGGGAGATTGTCAACATTCTGGGATGCATTGGATGGCTTGGGACAAAATGTCTATGCCAAAGAAAGAAGGAGGAATTGGTTTTCAGGACATAAGACTTTTCAACAAGGCTCTTATTATCAAACAGCTGTGGAGAATCATAGCACAGCCTGAACTATTAGTGAGCAAAGTGTTGAAGAGTAAGTATTTCCCCACATCTTCAATCTTTGATTGCAGCAAAAGGAGTGGAGCTTCATGGCTGTGGAATTCATGGGCCACCTTCCTTCCCACACTGAAGTCTCACCTGACAATTCTGATAAAAAATGGAGTGAATACTAGGCTTACTGATCACAACTGGATACCAGGAATCCCAGATGGCAAACCAAAGCTGAGGGTGCAAATAGAAGGGCATACTTTCTGTGTAAAGGATCTGTTAGCTGCAGGAGGGTGTGAATGGGATGAAGTCATTGTTAGAGCCTTGTTTGAGAAGGAAACAGCAGACAAAATCCTCATTATACAACATCTGAATCCAAGAGCACAGGATCTGTGGGTAAGTCCTTTTTTGAAGAAGGGCTGCTTTTCTGTAAAATCTGCTTATGGCATGCTATTGAAGGAGAAGGTGGGGAGGATGAACCAAGCTGAAAGCAGCCAGTATGCTGAAGGAAATAGAAGAGCTAGACTTAGATGCTGGCAGCTGAAAGTTCCTAACAAGCTTAAACATTTTATCTGGAGAAGTTTTTCAAATATACTCCCTGTCAATGCTAACATTATTAACAGGGGGATGGAAGTGGATAGTGTGTGCAGTGTTTGTGGAGAGGCTGAAGAAACACAGGAGCACGTGTTGTTCCATTGTAGAAGGGCAAGAAATACCTGGAAATTAGCTCCAATCCAGTGGAATAGATTACAAGAAGACCAACTGAAGTTCAAAGAATGGTGGTGGTGGATTAGCTCAATGAAGAAGCAAGACATTTGTGAAGAGAGAATCCAACTATCGACCTATATTCTATGGTGGTTGTGGCGTGCTCGGAATCTGTGGGTGTTTGAGAAGAAGTGGCAGTCGGAGCCATGGATCATCAGAACAGCTGTACAAGAATGGCTTGAATTTTCCTATCACCAAACAAAGACTTAACAGAAATGGAGAAGGAAGCACTAGGTCTCGAGTCAGTGGTGTTTTCTTTTTCTATTATCTTGTTATGGCTAGGATGGTAGGTTATGTCATGAACAAAGGTAGTTACAGCTTATCGGATTGTTTAAGTCTCTGTATTGATAATTTCGATTAGGCAGTACAGTGTATGTACTTGGCCTCTCATGTATTGCGGCTATGCGTTGTACCATTTGAACAGTTTGTTTTTTCTTTGGTTAATATGAATGAGTAATGATGTCGTTTGGAAAAAAAAAAAAGATTATGCAATTTAAAGAATATTTTTAGCGTTTAATAGCGTTTAATATTTTTTTTTCTTTTTGTAAAGGCACATATGTAAAGACTGAGATTCTAAAACTTTTGCTATATTTTGAATTGAGATTTTATAAATATAGACACCGAGATTTTAATGTTGTTCGTTGTTTTTAAAGAAAAAAATAAAAATAAAAACATGCACAATTAATTGATCATAGCCAGATCTTTTAAATAATAAAATGAACTAATGCCCAAAATTTAAGATAACATTTAATGATGTATGATTTTTAAAGATAAAAATAAGAAAAATAATAAAACTTCCTATTTATAGGCTGCATTAAATTCTGACCTATATTTTTGCTACTATTTTTGGTAAATGGTTATTCTTATTATTATTATTATTATTATTATATATATATATATAATAGATTGTAGCTATCGAATTTATTAGAGGAAACAAATAAAGAATACTTTTTTGTTAGGTTTTTTCTATTTAGTGTATATCATGTAGGACTTAAGATAATTTGTTTGAATGGAAATAGAATTTTTAGAGTTTTCAACATACCAAACTCTTATTTTGAATAATATGTTTGAATGACAATTAGATTGCACCATTTTTAGAGTTGTCATCATACCAAACTCTTATTTTGAGTAATATGTTTGAATGACAATCCGAATGTACGTGTTTTCATCATAATCAGTTTAAAGGAATTATATATATTTGCCAAAAAATTGTATGCACGTTATCTTTTGTTTAAAAAACACGTGAATACTATTCTAAATTGCATGTGTTAAAAGTAGTTACAATCTGTTTCACTATTGATGTTTATATATTCTAAATTATATATATTTGCTTATTTAACTGTTGGATTTACTAGGTGAGTTTATTTTATGTTATTTAACTTTATTGAATATTTCAAATTGCATATTTATATTTAAAATGATTTAGATTGAGTTTATTTTATGTTATTCAACATGATTGAATTTTTAGATTAGAATATATATATATATATATATATATATATATATATATATATATATTTAAAATGATTTTATTATTAAAAGTCAAAAAGAAAAGATGTCATAAAGATTACAACTTTGAAAAGTTTGCAACCATTAATTTAGGAATCATCCGATTTTTAAATAATTTATAAGTTTTGAAACATGACAAGTCTATCTAAAACCCATTAGGGGGTGTATTCAATTCGGAATTTAAGTGACATTTTAAGACTTTTTGAGATTTGAGACTTTCTAGGATTTTCAGATTTTGGAAGAATTCTATGAAATCTCAAGTCCGGAGGTAGGATTTGAAGTGAGATTTCATATAAGGTTTTTTGTTTAGAAATCCCACAAAATCTTAAAAAGTCTTAATAAATCCTAGTGTCAAAAAAATTAAATACCTCAGGATTTTGTAAGACTTTTGAAAATCCCAATTGAATACCCCAGGATTTTTAAAAGTTTTAAAACGTCTTAACAAATCTAAATTGAATACACTAGGGTTTTTAAAGTCTTAAAAAGTCCTTAAAAATCCTAATTAAATACACCCCCCTTAGGAACCATCCTATTTTTTTGAGAATGAAATAAAATTAAAATATAAAATAAAAAATTACTAAAAATAGTATATAATAAATGTGGTTTGACTTTTTCTTACTACTATTTATGGTAAATGTTAATTCTTATTATATAGATATAGATATAGATATAGATATAGATTTCAGATTTACGATATGATTTATTAAACTTTTTTTCCTTTCTTAATTCCAATTTTTCTACTTTTTCTTTTTTAATTCATTATTGTTAAACAATCGATATTTACTATCAGATCTGGTTTTGATTTAATGATTTCTTAAAAACAATTATTAACTTAACTTATATTGATAGTAGGTATCAAACAATGCTAATAAACATGTCATGGAAACTCGATTATAATAATTTTAAGTATATCAAAAATTAATAAATCACAAAAAGTAATGAGGAAGGTTCCAAAAATTATTTAATTCTATTTCTCTGAAAATTTGCAATCTTAATTAAAACAATAAAGTTGCACAAAATTACTCAAGTCGTTCATTCCAAAAAAAAAAATCTTAAAAAAAAATTAAGAATGTCAAGGCAATCACTAGTCTCAATAAGTATATCTCTTTTTGACCCGTTTGGGAATGAAACCAAAACTTGTCAAGATCGGCCAATAGTTTCAATGAATTAGGGTGATCCGTCTATATTCCTTTTATTATTTTACTCGGCTCCTTTACTTATGTTTGTAAGACTTTAGTTATATTTCCACCAAAAAGTAAACATAAATATTGAAATAAATGGACAAGGTGCCTCAAGACACACAAGAACCTTGTAGCGCCCCCAATTTTAACTTCTTAAAACTTTGTAAGACTTTTAAAAGTCTTGGCGTAATTATTTGGAATTTTAAAAAGTCTTACAAAATTTTGAGGTATTTTACTTATTTTAGACTAAAATTTGTTATGACTTTTTAAGATTTATTGGAATTTCTAAAGAAAAAAAAAACTTATACAAAATTCAACTCAAAATTTCACTCAAAGTTTAAGATTTCACATAATTCCTCCAAAATTTAAAANATATATATATATATATATATATATATATATATATATATATATTTTTAAATCAAGCAACAAAATTCAACTTAAATTTTAATTAATGTCGCTTGCACAAATCAACTTTGAGAATAATCCCAAACGACCAAACAGAGTGATAAAATTTAAAACAGACCATTAAACATAGCTACGGTTATCAACTTTCGAAAATGACAACCACGCTTTCCCTGCACACCTACGCCAACTCGTCAACTTGAAAAGGGGAAAAATGAGGGATGAGCAAAGCACAACTGAGTAAATAACATTAAAATAGTGCACTCCGTACATCGCACGAGATTCGCACTAGTATATACACACAATATAGAAATTCTCACCTCAATTTTGAAGAATGAAATGCTCAGTGTTCTGTTCGAGGCCTAGACTCCTCGTAAACTACATGCATAATATATATTTAAAGTGAATAATTATATTCTACTCAAATAATAAATAAAATATAGCTTTTAAATCTTAATTTAATTAATTAAAATTCGAGGCTCGACTAAAGGTTCGAGAAAAATGACTAAGAGTTTCAAAAGAAAATACTAGGCTCGGCTACAATTTTAAATAAGGCTCAAATATTAATTCTCAATACTCTAGCTCGCTCACCCAAAAAAGAAATTAAATAATCAATTAAAGGAGATCCAATTTCCACATTAAATTGTAGGGTGCTTGTCTTTTCAAAAATTCAATTATTTAACTAATCATTTTTTTTATTAAAATCTAATTCAACTTTAACTCAAACACACTATTTCTAATATTATCGATATATTAAATAATATTTATCAATTATTTTTACACATCACATCAACTTTAACACACAATTCAAACACATCAACTTTAATACACATTCATCAATTCACATAATCAATTTACACCATCTCTAATATTTTTACATAAAATCACCTTTAATTAATTTATTATAAATAATTTTTTTTTTGCACAATTATAAATATTATTTTAATATAGACTCAAAATTCTACAAATTCTATTAATAACTAAGGGGGTGATTGGATATGAATTCAACTAGTAAAAAACTAGTTATTTTGTAACTATAGTTAAATTTGAAAAAAGGTGGTATGGTTAGTTGTTAGTGGATATATTAAAATAATATTTAAAATAAAATAATTAAAGTTGATTTGATGTAAAAGTAGGAGAAAATGATTGGAAGTGATAGTTAGTTAAAATTATGTGAGTAGATGAATAGTGAATTAAAGTTGATGTGATGTGTAAGAATGATTGGTTGATATTATTTAATTATATTGATAATATTGAAGATAGTGGAGTTGAGTTAAAGTTGAGTTAAGTTTGAGTTTTGATTGGTTTTTTTACTGTACAATTTCTATCCAATCACCCCCTAACTGTTTATAAAATTTAAAATCAACCAAATAAAACAAAAAAAAAAAATTATATCCAAGCATGCTATAAAAGAGTGTGAAACGACCTTCCTTTCCAGTTTCCCTTCCCTCTGTTCGTCCTGTCCTTTTTATATCCAATTGACCCGTTTGTTTTTCTCTGTAAATTTATCCTCGGGATCATAAAAATGTCTTTCATTTTGTGTATTAGTTGATTATTACAGTACTTCAATTTCTACAGCTCTTTCAGTATTGTAAACCCGTAGCCAGGATTCTCTACCAACTGCCTGGCTGCCACATGTAGCACTGCTACTACATCTGTAATTCTGTATGTATGTATGCTTAATCCAATTAATATTTTTATTTATAGTGTGTGTATGTGTGTTGAATAGTGGATTCAAAAAATGGTGTATTTTTGTTCTGTGCCATTTGCCTAATTTTACTTCGGACTGTGGGATGCATTGTCAAATTCAGGGTCCCTTTGCATCTTCTGTCGCCCAAAGATTTCACCTTTCAACAACTCCAAGAGATTATTCAATAGCCCATTCCCGCATTTTCTTCCTTTTGTCATTTTTCATTTTCTTTTCTCAGATCCCCAATTCGGGGCAGTCTTCAATTATTTCTCTGGATCAGCGATTTGAATACACACCATGTACCAAAATGCCTTAAAAACCCTAGAAAGAGTTCCAATCTTTTTCGACCTTCTTCCTTAATCCATCCACTGAGGAGCCAAGAGAAGGAGAAAAGGAAAAAGATCAAAGATCGGAAACTCAGCATGTGGAAGCAATTTCTGGGTAAGCTCCCCCGTAAGTCCCTGAAATCAGATCAAGCTTCTTCGAGAAACCCTAATTCGGGGCCGAACACATCGTCCCATGGCTCTGACCGGGCTAACCCCAACAGCCCGGCAGCAAAACGGGCTTCTGCCGCCGTCTTTCCCTCCTGCGCAATTGCTGGGATCGAGCCACTTCTGGCATTCAAGGATGTCCCGAGCGCGGAAAGGATGAATCTTTTCATCAGTAAGCTAAGCCTCTGTTGTGTGGTGTTTGATTTCAACGACCCGGCCAAGAACATTCAAGAGAAGGAGCTCAAACAGACCACACTCCTCGAGCTTCTCGATTTCGTTTCCCAAAGCCCACCCAAATTCTCCGAGCCTGCAGTCCTAGCATCTTGCAAGATGTGCTCGGTCAACCTTTTCCGTGCTTTCCCGCCCAACCGATCCACGAAGGGTAATTCGGGCGAAAACGAGAATGAGGAGGAGCCCACATTTGACCCCGCATGGGCCCACTTGCAGATAGTGTATGATTTCTTGCTCAAGTTTGTGACCTCATCTTCTTTGGAGACGAAAGTCGCGAAAAAGTACATCAACCATTCTTACATTCTAAAAGTCATTGATTTGTTTGATTCGTACGATCCTAGGGAGAGAGACTGTCTGAAAGCAATACTTCATAGGATATATGGGAAATTCATGGTTCATAGGCCCTTCATAAGAAAAAGTTTGAGCAACGTGTTTTATAGGTTCGTGTTTGAGAACGAGAAGCACAATGGTATTGCCGAGCTGTTGGAGATTTTTGGGAGTGTAATAACGGGTTTTGCTCTGCCTCTCAAAGAGGAGCATAAGATATTTCTATTGAGGGCACTCGTTCCCCTGCACAAGCCAAAGTCATTGGGGGTTTACTTTCAGCAGCTTTCGTATTGTGTGGGCCAGTTTATTGAGAAGGATCCTAAGCTGTCGAGCAGTGTTATCGAAGGGCTTTTGAAGTATTGGCCGATCACGAATAGTCAGAAAGAAGTGATGTTTTTAGGCGAGTTGGAGGAGATTCTTGAAGTGATTAACATGGCTGAGTTCCAAAAAGTTATGGTCCCATTGTTTTGTCGGCTCGCACGCTGCATAAATAGCTACCATTTTCAGGTTTTCTCTCTCTTCTCATTCGATTATTTGTTTTTTCTCTAATTTCACTAGGTGCCACCTACTATGGTTAATGAGTTTCTAAGTTTTTGTTCTTGACAAGTCTATTAATATTGGCTTTTTTTCATTGTGAACCCAAGAGAATTTATACAGATTTTCCAATATTAAGGTGCCTAGAATTTGGAGGGTGTGATGGAATGTGTCATGTGTGTGTGTGTGTCTGTAAGAATGATATAGCGGTCATTTTTTGAACACGTGGCTCTTGGAAGGTATAGCACATTTATACAGTCTTAATTTGATTTTAATTTGTCTCGATTGCAGGTGGCTGAAAGGGCATTGTTTCTCTGGAACAACGACCAAGTCATTAATCTTGTCACACAAAACCGGCAAGTTTTAATACCCATAATTTATCCAGCTCTTGAAGCCAATACCAAAAACCACTGGAATCAGGCAGTCTTGAACTTGACCTTAAACGTGAGGAAGATTTTTTCTGAAATGGATGATGCCCTCGTCTCGGCTTGTGTTGCCAGCTACCATGAGGAACAAGAAAGGAAAACCTCAGAAATCGAGAAAAGGAATGACATTTGGGAACGTTTGGAAAATGTCGCTGGTCAACAGCCGATAGCTGGAAACACGGCCGTTTTAGTATCCCACTGAGCAGTTTCGAAGTCCTTTCTTCTTTGTGCTTTCTTTTTTCTTTTTTTTTTTTTTTTTTTTTTTTT